GTAAGTCAAATATACCAAAAATTCTAATTACAAAGAAAGTTTGGCACAGATGCACATGGTGACCATACACTTCACTATTTAATTATTTCAACAGTATGGATGTCCATTACAACAGAAGTTAAGGTCTCCCATTGCAATAGGCCACACTTGCATAGAAATGACAAATTCATTTAAGAACTATTACTTACAGTATTACAGGTGTCAAGATATGACCCTGTGAACAAATCCCCAAAATCTACTGGCCTGGAAGTCCAGCAGTTCATCTAAACAAAAGGCACTTATAATAAAACAGATACAGAGTAGGTGTCCCCCTATAGTATAAATCAGTAAGAGAATGTATAACCTCTCTCATGACCTTAAGTTGTGTGTGCACGCCAGAACACTCTGGAAGGCACACACAGTCTCTACAGACTACTACGGATCAAACCTCTATTATTATGCAATCGATTATAAAACTCTAAGCATATATGAGTATATATTTCTAAGCATAAATGACAATCAACAATATAAACCTTACATGTGGGGTCCAATAGTCAGTTAGTGGTTTGTGTGGGTGTGTGTGGTGAGGGGGAATGGGGGAGCTGGTAGTGACTTCAGGAGTCTGATGGCTTGTGGGATCCTCACAGTCTGGAGGATGAGGCCCCAATGCTGCGATAACATCTGCCGGATGGGAGAAGGGAAAAGAGTCTATGTGATGGGTGGGAAAGGTCAAGCACTATGCATGAGGCCTTACTGGTGCAGCGTTTGTGAAAGATGTCCTGTAGCAGAGGGAGAGAAGTTCCGATGATCTTTGCAGCTTCTTTGACGATCCGATGTAACTGGCTGAGGTCGCCGACTTTGCAGTTTACAAACCAAACGGGGATGCAGCTGGTCAGAACACTCTCTGATGCTCCTGTAGAACATGGTGAGGGTGGGTGAGGGTGGGAGGAGGGAGGTTGGCCCCCTTTAGGCTTCTCAGGAATTGGAGGCGCTGCTGGGCCTTTTTGGTGATGGAGGTGGTGTTAGTGGTCCAGGTGAGGTCGTCTGAGATGTGTGAGATTGTGCAGTCATGTGTCAGGAGGGTGAACAACAGAGGGCTGAGAACTCAGCCCTGAGGAGCTCCTGCTGGTGATGTTGTTGCAGATTTGGACGGACTGAGGCCTCTCTGACAGGAAATCTAGTATCCAGTTGCAGACAGAGGTGCTCAGTCCCAACTTGCTGAGTTTGTCAAACAGTTTTTGGGGGATAATGGTGTTGAATGCTGAGCTAAAGTCTATGAACATCATTCTGACATTGGTGTCTTTCTTGTCCAGGTGGGAGAGGTAGAGGTGAAGTGCAGTGAAAAGAGCATCCTTGGTCGTTCTGTTCGGCCAGTATGCAAACTGCAGTGGGTCCAGTGAGTAGGGGAGGTTGCTCTTCACATGTGCCATGACAAGTTTCTCAAAGCACTTCATCATGATGGGAGTCAGGGCGATGGGACGGTAATCATTCAGGCAGGATACAGAGGATTTCTTTGGCACCGGGATGATGGTGGTGGACTTGAAGCATGCTGGGATGATCATCTGGCTCAGTGATGAGTTGAAAATGTCTGTGAAGACCAGCTGATCAGCGCAGTCTCTCAGTAAGCGGCCTGGGATGTTGTCTGGTCCAGCAGCTTTTCATGGGTTGACCTTGGTGAGAAATCTCCTCACATCGGCAGAGAGATGGTCTGGTCGGTGGTGGGGGGCATGGCTTTCTTTGCTTGTGTGTTGTTCAGGGCATCAAATCGTGCATAGAACTTGTTCAGCTCTTCAGGAAGTGTGGCATCTCCATCACAGCTGCTTGGTACAGGCTTGTACTGTGTGATGGCCTGAATGCCCTGCCCCTGGATCTTTTGTGCATGTGCACGCTTTGCTTATCGGATGGCGCAAGAGAGGTTGGCTCTGGCTGTTCTGAGAGCTGTTCTCCAGACTGGAAAGCAGCATCACGCTCTCTCAGACATGCACATACCGCTGAACCAGGGCTTCTCATTGGGTCATGTGGTGATGTTTCTGGAGACACTTACATCTTCTGTGCACCTACTGATGTAGCAGATCAGAGATGCAGTGAACTCGTCCAGGTCCAAGAAGCCATTTTGGGTGGCTCCCTCTTTAAACATGTTCCAGTCTGTGCACTCGAAGCAGACCTGAAGCGTTGAGACAGCCCCAGTTGGCCAGACTGATGGTTTTTCTTGCTGGTTTTGTGCGTTTCAGCAGTATTGCGTACGTGGGCAGCAGCATCACAGTGGCATGGTCAGATGAGCCAATGTGCGGGCGCACAGCTGTCTTGTAGGCCCCGCACATGTTGGTGTAAGCTTTATCCAGGTAGTTCTCTCCTCTGGTTGGGAAGTTCATGTGTTGGTGGAATTTGGGGTTCATCTAGTTTTAGACTGTTCAGTGGAAGTTTTCATTACGGTGCCACAACTATGCACACAAGTGCTTACACCTTAAATGAGAAAAATAGAAATTTTCCATTGCAAACTAATAATAAATTACTTTTATATCCCATTTTCCTTCCTTTCTAAAAGAAAGAAAATCAAGAATGCAGTGAAGAATGAATTCAAAAAGCGGAAAACGATTACGGTAAATTTATAATCTGACAGCAAAATCTAAAAAAATTATCTTCTAAAACTGCCCAAAAAGTAAAAACTGACTAACAAAAATGTTCTCAGAATCACTTCAGTGAGCATTGTTTCAAAGTCTTCACAGTGAGCTCCAAAGAGTTCCTCAAAGGGGAGAATGTAAATTCAGATGTCAATGGTAGGTGAAGTAACTACCAGTTACTTAAAGTATGTTTTTGTGTAACAGAAAATGTATTGCTCAAGTTTATATTTCTTGTTCAATTTTTAACAGAAATACTGAAACTCAAGGAAATTTTGAAAAATCTGAATGATGCTCATTCAGAGACATTAAACTATGTGTCTGGAGCTCACGGGATTCTGTCTTTGATTCAAGGGGCCAGAAGTGGAGAAGTGGTAAGATCAGGCAATAAAGCCTCATTCATAATCTTCTTAAAGGTCATAAAAATACATAAAAAATACACACAAAAAATGTTCATAGCCACTAAAGTGTGTATTGTAAGGTATCCTCACATTCACTGAAAATGTGGGATATTGGACATCATAAATCTATATGTGGTAATATATTATTAGTGATTGAGTAAGGAGAGATCATTTGGAAGAACTGAATATTATTTATTTAGAGGCAGATGAATGAAGACAGACTTATCTGACTGAACTTATGCATGAGCTTAATGTTAAAAACTTGGATTTGTCAACACCCCCTCAAACATCGTGAATGAGTAAAGAGACAATGTTTTTATGTTGTTATGTTTTCCTGCTTTAAATAATGATCTTTCTTTTTTTCAGGTTGAACAAAAAAATGATGTGTTTGCAATCCTTGAGGGAAACTTGAGCATCCAACTTAATCAAGTCAAAAAAGCAATTGAAGACATTATAAAAGCTTTTGAACAATGCCTAAGTGAGGGAGTTGAAAAATCCAAAAAAGCATGTGAAAAAAAACTGAAGTCCTTCTTATACCCTAGTGTATGTATTTTTATTACAATTAGATCAAAACCTCAGGACACTTTCTGACCATGTTAAAAAAAATTAAATAAAAATTCTGTTTTGTTTCAGAAAAAAACAAACAGAGCTTTTCACATGACACTAAAGTCTGCAGTTAGGAATGATGGCATCCAGAAACCAAAAAAAGGAAAACCTAAAAACCTCAACATGATATTAGCGTCTTATTTGACTGAAAGCATTGATGAAAAATTCAGAGATACCTTCCCGTGAGAATAATCGAAATCTGAACAGCATCAATATATACAAGAATAAATGTATCCAAATCGCAGAAAATCATAAACTTGCTAGTACTGCCATTATTAACCAGATCTTTGCCCCATTCAGAAACAACATAAAATGTGGACATTTCAATGGAGCCATCGATGCGTTTTCACTCAGCACTGATTCACTGATTGAAAAGTACAAAGATGTCAAACTGCAACTGACATTTCTCCAGACAGAGGTAAAAGAGCTTCCCTAATCATTAACCTGTTGGCTTATCTGTTATTAGAAAATCATTAAAAAGTGAACTTGTACTTAATTTATCTTAATATTTGTTAAACAATGCTAATCCATATTTTATGTTTCTAAGGGGGAAAAAATGAAGACAAAGCTCAACAAAACCATCCTCACACAAAAGAAATTAATCTACAACAGTTTGACAGAGACAATCAAGGACAACATGAAAGAATGCTATAAAGGTAAGAAAGACATGAATGAAGGTATTTCTATTAAACTGTGCATAAAAATTATTGTCTCCTTGTAGAAGCAGCAGCATTTACAGGAAAAGGCACCCTGAAGAACATGAGGGACACTATTGAGAGACATGTGCACTCAAAGATGGACATGTTTGAGGAAGCAAAAAATGTCATGTTGGAGCTCTTGAACGATTTGAAGGTTTGTTACAATTTTATATGAATTTATGATATGAAATATGATGAAACAAATTATTTTGGTGATTTTGGTGAGATGTACAAAAATTCCAAAGCAACCCTGAAACACATATCAAACCAATAATTTATATCTTGTCCAGTTATTCTTGGATTCAATAGTTGCCTCTGTAAAAAGTAAAGTTTTTGATGATAAATTAGGAAACTGTCCTGAGGACACTGGAGAAAACCATGAAGGATTCCATTGAACACTCACTTAAGTCGGAGGCCTGCTCACTGCCAGGTAAACAGAATATATAAAGTATTGATGTTAGTATTAGGAATCTTCTCAATACAAACACTAACAGTAAATGTATAACAAATGCAAATACTGTGTTTTTAGATGTTTCGGAACATCTTGACGTGGTTAAAAAACATTATGATGAACTTAGTGTCATTCAAGATGAAGAAAAATAACCACACTAGGTAAATATTAAAATGTCACAAATTGTTTAAAGGGCTTTGATCATGAACTTTTGTGCTGATTATTGTGAGCATTATCTTTATTTACAATTTAACTGATCCGTCCAGCAGCTGATCCATTTCTGATTTGCTCCACAGAAACAGCTAAGGCCTGATGACCCACAGAGCATCCCTGAGGAAACACTGATGAATACACGAGGTCTTTAGATACTGTCACAATAATTTTTGTTTTGCTCTCTTTTACTGTTGTGTTGGTGTGTACTTTCCACTTTTAATAAATTTTTATACAAAAAGCATCTTGAATATTAGAGATATCAATTAAAACTGCTAATATTAAGGTATTAATCATGAAGGTCTAAATCATGATTTGATTTCTTTCTTTTTTTAAAAAAATTTGTAGTACATTTTTAATCACTTATAGCAAAGCGTGAAGACATGTAATGCATTTCCCCATTTAAACCTGAGATTTATGGTTTTAATTGTAAGAGCCTGAGATTACGGTTTCCAAAAGCATGCTTGTTTTATATGTCATAATTTAATGTTTTAAGTTAATGTG